ACGCCTAGAAAAATCACACGTTCAAATGATATTTCGACACAGACATACTTTTTCTGCTATTTAGAAGTGTACATAAAATTAAATTAATTTTTTTACCCACGCCTTTGGAAGCTCACTTATCCATCCACCTAATGTTATATATTCACAGTGTGTGATGCTTTTCATATATCGATGAATAAATATTTAAATATAGGTATGAATGTCCTTATGGTGAAAGAGTCAATTCAAATATGAGAATGAAATTCCTATTTCTTTCTGTCGTCAGTTCATTCAGAAAATGCAATTTTTATGTGTGGTTTGATAATGTGAAACCATATGTAATATTTTAATGGTGATTTCCCCATTACAAAGCGCAACAGGCAATGAACACTTTAGATATTTTTTTGTAACGGAAGTTGATTATAAGAGCCTAAATATGTTAGATAATCGGCAAATCATTGGAAAGATATTGTTTTGCAACTACAAACTTTCCTGAATATTGAGAAGGCGCTATACAAAAGTTTCTAAAATCCGTCTGCCGGAACTTGATAACATTTTTTAAGAATGTATAAGGAAGTTGGGTAGATTATCAAAAGATACGCTAACAAATAAACAATTAGTATTCCTTTAAATGAATATTTATCTCATTTTTCCAATACTCATTGGAAAACTGTTAATCAACACTTTCTTCTATTATTTAAGTCATAAAATATATTTCTTGATTGCAAATTTGATCACTATGTATTTAATTTATGTTAATCAAACTCTTTCGAACGGCCTTTCAAGGAATAAGTCTCCACACAAGGCCAATATAATAAATCGTTTAACTCAAAACTAACGTGATCGTGATGTATGTCTATATAAACTACATACAAATATGGTCTTTCATTAAAACGAAATATTAAATACTTACAATGATATATTCTTATAAAAAATACTCAATGGACATTATAAAAGCTATCGTAAAACAAGGAATTTAGTTGTGAAAACATTCTCAAAATAATCTGAATGCGCTTTGTATCGATAGCAAATAAGTTTGAATGGACATGGTTGCTTTACGCCTCTGTAACCACGACCAACCTCAGACAGCGCTATTTCGTGCTAATTAACAACTCATCAGTGCATCAGGGGTGGCTTCCGGCAATATCAGCTGTAAAACAGCTACAAGCACAGCTGTAGGAGTGCGTGGTAGTTCTCCGCAAAGCCTTTTCACGCTGAAGATCAGAACCCCATAAGAAAATGGACGGGGTAGCACCCAAACGAAAACAACTAAACGTAAGGTACAATATGAAGGGGTACTACCATACAAATTGCTGTTCGGCACCTAATATCCCAGAATCTGGAGGTTAAAGAAACAGCGCTCACGCCACAATCTCAGGAAGAAAGTGACTGACACGAAACACCTAACTTTATAAAGGAAGGTCCAATAAGTGGCCTTGAAGAAGATATGCTCGATAGGAAACCAAATAACGGCTGCTGATTGTCAATACGCGAACCCTAGAAAACCAACTACCAGATATACGATATTTTTAGAGGAAATTGCTGAGCTAATCGTCAGTAATACTATAACGTTAATGTCCAAAAGATTCCAACATAATACTGAATCACTGAGAAAGAAAGATATAACACGTGCGAAATTATACAATCAATAAAGTATAAAATTTAACAAAATAAAATCATTGAAAAGGGTTTGGACTAGGAATGGGCACTCTACCATTAATAAAGAGAAATTCAAATTACTAGTAAGTGATCAAAATAGTAAAAAAAAGGTTACGTGATTTTGGCATGTGACCATCTTTCAGCTACGGGCCTTTTTATTTTTTTTTATACTCCAACTACCACGAAGGCCTAAGGCCTAAGCACCCATTGGGTACCGTGAGGCTATAGGGGGATACATGGGAAAGGGGGGGACGCCACACGGACTTTGGCGAGGGAACACGTGTGCATGCAACATGCACACATTCTGGCTCCGCCTACGAGAACCGCCGGGTGGTACCTCCGCGTTCGACAGTCAGAAACCATCTACCACCTACGGACAATCACAACATCCATAGCCAAGAGAAAAATTTCTCCTGGGACGGGACTCGAACCCGCACAGCGCACGGCGACTGATCAGGAGACCGAAGAGTCTACTACTGCGGCCACCGCTGCTGCCTATTTTTTTTATGGACAAACACACGACGTCACAACATCCATGGCGAAGGCGAGATTCGAACTCGTGGCCCGGCCGGCCGGCTGATCAGTAGCACGACACTCTGACCCACGCGGCCAACCGAGGTTAGTTGTAATCCGCCTATTCTGTTGCTTGTAGATTCAGCACCTCTCTGAATAGCACATTACTTATCCGTCTAGTTATAAATATTATATCTGTGGGTTAACAGTTACTCCCGCTGTTACATAAAACCTTCTATTCAGCCCTTGTATGTTTAGGAGCTCCTTGTGCTGAGTATGTGCATATTATAGAGTAGCTGTCTGGTGTCCTGTCCCTTTTTACACGAGCCACATTTGCAGTTTATTTATACTGATGGATGTTATTCCTTATTGGACCCTTTAACCTTTCTCACAATCGTACAGGCGATCCCTTTCTACTGATCTTTTGGAATGATCACGAATTCATAGTCAATTTACTTGGCTCCTGGTGGAACTTTGTCATTACTGCGCTAATTACGGGTTGTTTGCGATTTTTTTTTATCGGCAATGAAATCATAGCTAACTAAACAGGTGGGAACAATAGGTATAGTCGCACGAATCTTATGGAAAAGTTCAACCACAACAAAGTTTGTTTAGCTCAATTTGGTAGGTTATCATTTGAAGCTAACAATGTGTATTGTTTGCTGATAAAGGAGCATTCAGTTTTCATATATTTACGGTGTCAGTTGAATATTAAATTTCGTGTAGTTTATTGGGAAGAATTTTTGTGATTGCTCAGAAGGCATAGAGTGCATAGAATTCTCCGGGTATCCCATCTAAGTAACTTTGAGAGAGATTGAATTGTCCGGTTGCGTGAAGCCGTTCTATATATAAGAGAAGTTTCTAGGAGGACCAAGCGATTCTTACGCAGTATACTGCAGTGTCAACGAGCACGTGGACTCAGTAAAGAACAGCGAGCGAGGGGTTCTGGTCGTCCCAGAGGGACCACCGAGTGATAAGACTGCCGGTTAAGACTTAGTCTAGCTCTGAGAGACAGATTCAGTAGAGTTCGAGCCATCGCTAATCAGTGGTTTGAAGAGCATGGAAAAATGGTTGGTATGAGTACGGTATATCGCCGAATACGAGTACGACACTGGCCTTTTTTCTTATCGCCTATATTGGGTGCTACCCCTCACAGGCGTAACCGTTTGCTCTGGTGTAGAGAAAGAATTCTATGGGACCAGAATCGGAATCAGGTGGTCCTTAGTGACGAATCCCGCTTTTGTCTGGGGATGCACGATGGTCGGGCAAGAGTGAGAAGGCGACGTCGTGAAAGACGTGACCCACAATTTGACATAGGGCGTCACGTTCACCACACCGTGGGAGTTATGGCATGGGGTGCTATTCCTTATGGTTGCAGGTCACCACTAATTTTCATCAGAGCCAATGTGAGAGCACGACGCTATATTCAAGAAGTAGTCGAGTATCATCTTATTCCATACCTAAACGTTTACCATGGTCACCACGATCGCCTGACCTATTTCCAATTGAACATGTCTGATACATGATAAGTCGCAGGCTCTTGAATTTGCCTCACCCTCCGTAGCCTGGAGTGAGACACCCCAACAGTATATCAAAAACCTTATCAGCATGATGTCCAGCCGTGTCAATGGGCGTATAAGAAATCGTGGATCCTCAACACATTATCGAACAGTCACTTGACGAATCAAGCTAAGAATTCAATCATTTTACTAGTAAGGGATACTGAACATAAATGCCAAACATTATTAAAATCGGATAAACATACGTATCGTATTCATTTAGATTTATTTTGTGTTTTGTTTAACCCAGATATTACTGAAACTTTTTTTCCCAATATTTGCCGGTTTCTTAGTGAGAGTACAGTAAATTGACTCCAAAACCGGTTTATGAACTTTTTTATCCCTAAATAAGAGTTACGAGGTGTTCCTTAAAAAGGACGGTAGTAAAATGACCTGCTGATAGCACAAATTTTATTTCAAGGACACATGTTGTAAGACATAAAACAAATAACTATTCGGTGTGATACTGTTCGAAACACGTTTTAGGATGTAGTGGAACACTACATTTTCTGCAGCGAAACTGAACTTTTTATGGCATTCGCCACAACGTTGCTGGTTCTCTTGATAAACCACAAGGTGATTGAGCCCATCATATCTAGAATAATATTTTCTTCCGTGTTTCGCTTAGATGGACCCCTGTTAATATTTCTCTGATTAGTTTCCAGAATGTTCCCAGCCATTATTGTTGTCTGGTGCCTCTGACAATGCACCCTGATCAAGACAAAAACCAAATCACATAGCCCAGTCGAAGAGCTCCTACCCAGAGTTTATACCCCCACCTTATAGGTTTTCCTCTTATGAACTGCTTTCAGCCATGTTTGCCAAAATAGGGAATCACGGCTTCATCGATGTTCCAAAGGAGCAAACTCTAAGAACTTCGTATTCAATAAACTAAACAATGGACGAAGTTTTGCATACCTGTCCGATTTATCCAGATCAGTATTATCGCAGAAATGGAGGACTTTCATAATTTGTGAGAATCTGTCCCTTGACATAGCTTTAGTTACCATATCGTTGTGAGTATCACTCCTATTTTAACATTTTAACATAAATCTCCTAGGATGAACCACGTACCCACTCAATGTCAGGACACCTAAAAATCACTTGATTTCTCTCGAGGATACTTCAATATCCAAATTTCCTTGTAGTGCATATCTATTGGTGTATTCAACTATCATGTCTATAACCTCGGCATCAATAAAACATTCAAATAACTGCATGGGAGACAATTCTTGCATGGGACTAGCAGGTTTATTCCATTCAATGGCGGAAGGGGGAGGCATATCTTCATTAGTCCATGATAGTGTCTTGAGCTTTTTTATCGAACGAGGGCATGTACATACCTTCTAGATTGGATGCTGATGCTTTGGGATAAGGTTGTGATAGAGGTATATCATCTTCAGAGTCATACAACTGCTCATAGTCTTCCTGTATCGATGATATTACGCTAGGCGGCCTATTTTGAATACTCATGGCGTCTCCGATTATTTCCACATCATTTCTCAGTTGACTTCCTGGAGGATTACTCAGTGATCTAAACTCTTCATCTCCCGAATCACAATCTGTGACGTCATCATTTGCGTTCTCTGGTGGATAAAGTACTAAGCCATCAGGAAGAACGGGAATTCTATCGGGATGTTCTAATTCTTCTAGAAGTTCATGTAACTTCAAGGGCCTTCTAAAATCAGAGAAAATATTTTTTAGGTACATATATGTCACTACCGTCATTTAAAAAGGACGACAACTTTGAGCAGGTGTAAAAACTAGATCATAACCTCAAAACAACTGATATAGGATAATGTAGACTTTTCTGTATCACTAATATCTGAAAACCATAAATAGTACAAATATTCATAAGTACAAATGTAACAAAAACTTACCTCCACTCATACATGATCACTATTTGTAGAAGCACACTGTATAAATGTCGAAATATGGCTCAAGCGATACCCATGCGACTAAAGTGTAGTCATTGGTGGTAGTTCTAATGTTCTTTGACAGAGCATGGTGGCGATAACTTCTGTAAAATTACTGAAACTCCTTACAGAATCCTTGAATCGCAATGCCTTTATAAAGGACGGCAGTAGTATCTGGGTTAAGTATGATACTGTGACTAATGGTTTGTTCGTACAGTAGTCGGTAACTTGTCGGTGACTGTCAAAATCAGAATCAGAGAGATGTTACCTGTTCGTACAGTTTCTGACTGTTTGCCGACAGCTAATCCGCTGTTCGTACAGAACCTTCTGACAGATCAGAGTACACCAGTCAACCAGTGACAGTGACAGGTATCAGAGTGTGTCGGAACTATATTGAGGGCTAAAATTGCTTCGCAAGAGGCATTTAATGGACGGTCTGAGGACACCTTCGTACCAACGGACCGTTGGCGATCTAGTTACGCCAACGGCCTTTGCTCCTGAGAGGTCTCTTCCATGGTGTCGCTCCGCGATGTGCCTACTTGATTTCGGCCTCCCACCGTAAGCGTGTCGAACTTCGCATATCAAGAACTGGCCGATAAGACTGCTCCTTTGTCCCGAGGGTGTCGAGATCGTGTAACAATCTACATGAAGAGATTTTCCCAATTCCACTAACTTTAAGCAGTTCAAAAATGGGAATAACAAAGATTCTTCAAGCTCCTGAAGGCAGCCTTGGCATGTAGGGTTCACCTGCGCGGCTGCTTCGGTGTAAAAAAATGAAACCCAAAAACTTTAATTTTGTAAAGAAAACAGTGCCACAATTCAACAGAAACAAGTTTTTGTAACATTTACGGGTGAGCAAGTGGCACAAGAAATTTTAATGAAATTCCATTTTAAATATCAGCCAGCGCCAAAGTGCTTTGTGCTCAATACTTTGTTTATTGACCCGGTAATGGCAAAATGAAGAGTATGAAAAATCCGAACAATAGAGGACATAACTTTCAAGAACCATAATTAATACGATTTTTGTGATCACTAATATTTTGAAAATTTTTGTTACAATTGCAAAATGTGTAATTACGCGATTTAAGTCTTACTTCTATATATTTTCGTAGTCTCAGTTCTTTTTGTCCATGTTGAGAGGTCTGTGAAACTTATAGGTCAGCAGATCTTGATAGTTGTAGTTATGTTCAGCCGTTTTAGCCTTTTAGTGTACAAGACCCTTTATTATTCAAAGACGTTATTAAATCCTTGTAGTATTTTCACTTCTTTCTTCTAGTAAGAGTGTGCATATACAGGGTGTTTCTAATTTGGCACTCACCACTGGGATCTTGGAAACTGTAAGGGATACGAAATCGCTTAAATGGGGTAGTCAACAAAGTGACACTTAGAAGGTTTCGAAATTCAAAGTACTTCCGGAAAGTAACGGAAAAACTGAATTTTCCCAAATCGTTCTGATTTTTTCGTGACTTTATTTATATTGGGATATTAAATTAAATTGCACATTGCCACGTTTTCTCCTCTACAAGAAGGCATAATCAGAATTTCTATATGACGGTTCGACTCTTGTCCTCCAGCATCAATTTTATTATTTCTTAAGGACGCTATATTGCATTTTTGAACAGATGAATAGAGTTTTTGATTTAGATTCAAAAAATGCATAATCCATTGACGTTGTTAAACCTTGATTACTTTAAGAAAAACAAAATTTCTTAGGTAGGCCTTGAAATTATCAGATGTTTGTTTGGATCACCAGATGTATCCCAAAACCGCTCTATTTTTTCCTAACTCAATTAGAGATGGGATATCAAAATAAATTGCATATTATCATTGTTACTTATTCTCGTCTGCGAGATGGCGTAGTCAAATTTTCAATTCAACATTTCTTCTGTCGACTACCATCATCAAATTTGTTTTCTCATACGGATACTATATTGGAATTTTGTACATTTAAATGGACTATTCAAGCCCTAAATTCAGTGATTGTTGGTTTACTATAAATTTGTTGTTGGATGAAAATTAAAAGGAAATAAAAATATATGGTGAAACCTGAATACGAAATGAAAATTTTATTGATGGTAATAACAACAACAAACGTCACATTGAATTTCTAATTGTGCCGTCTTGTAGAGGATAAAATGTGGCATTGTTTATGTGCAATTTATTTTGAAATCTCACCACAAATAAAGTCAGGAGCAAATTAAAACCATTTTGGGAAATTTTCAATTTAAAAACTTTCTAAGCGATATTTTTTGATTACCTGAATACGCAACTTTGCAGCTATTTATTTGACTTCGTATCCCTTGAAGTTTCCGAGATCCCAATGGTGAGGGTCGAATTTAAAATACCTTGTATAGGAAAAATATTATTTTCACCCCAGCACAAACAGTCACTCCCTCTCCGTGAGCACCCATGAGAAAAAGCTGTATTACAAAATCTCCAGAATTCGTTATCTTGTTTATTTTTTCATCTGCTTTGGGTTGGACTTACATAGCTAGAATATATAAATACTGTTTGTGCATACACTTCGAGGCTGGGCGACAAGGGAACAGGGAACAAAAACCCTGCTATCTGAGTCTGATTAAAAGTCATTCACAATACTTTATACTTTTCTCATGCAGACTGCAGACATTTAATCAGAATTCTTACTATGTATTTACTTCTTCAACCTGCCATTCGATGTGAGGATTCATATTTCTTCGAATTTATGTTTATACTTTATACCTATATGAAAATTGAATGGTAATTACTGAGTAAACCTACTTGAAATTTTTGGGTGCTGTTATTTTTTTTTAGAAATTGTCCATGTTTTTCTCTCTAATGGAAAATTCGGGCACATTTGGACAGCGGGACGAAAAATCCTAGATCATTCTGGTTTACAACCAATGAGCCCCCAACTTTTTTCAAAATTGTCTACTTCACTCTCAAAAATTTTACATTCGAATAATTATTGTACTTGATTTCGAGCTCTGACAGTTTACTGGAAAATTATTTGCTGACTGATTTGACAGTCATCAAACAGTCAGATGTTTCTGTACGAACAGCGGATTAGTTGTCGGTGATCGGTCTGACCTCCCTCAGCCAACTCGTAACGTTCTCATGTACGCACTCATTACAGTCAGCGATGCGTCAGTGACAGCTAACTGCGTAAAATAGGCCATGACTTGTCACCGACTATTAGTTTGCTGATTGTCAGCAAACAGGCTGTATGAACAAGCCATAAATAGTTATTAAGTTGGGGCAGATGCGTTCTGTTGTAATTATATTATAGTAAGGTTTTTTTGGTGGTTTGAAACACTGTTCCTAGTTGGTTGTTAGTTTTTTTTTTTTTTTTTTTTTTTTTTTTTTTTTTTTATATCGAAACAGCCGCGCAGGCAGAAGCCTAAATGCCGGAACACCGCGGCTGCTATGATGATCCCAAAGAAATTTTGTTAATACGATTTTTGAACTGCTTAAGGTTAGTAGAACTGGGAAAAGCTTCCTCCCGTAGTTTGTTCCACAATCTAGACACCCTCGGGACAAAGGAGCGGTCGTATCGGCTACTTCTGGATGTACGAAGTTTGACACGGTTAGGATGGGACGCCGAAGTCAGGCGGGTCTGTCTGGCAGGCACATCGCGCGGCGGCATCATGGAAGAGAGCTCTGAGGAGCAAAGCCCGTTGGTGTAGCGATAGAAAAGAGCTAGATCGCCGACGGCCCGCCGGTGCGAAAGAGTCCCGAGACTGTCTGTTAGAGAAGAGTCATCGATCAGTCGGACCGCCCTCCTCTGGACAGCATCGAGCATGGACAATGTAGTCGGGGCGGCAGCACCCCAAATGTGTGAGCAATACTCGAGGCTAGGCCTTATCTGGGCCTTGTATAGAGTGAGAAGGTCATGCGGAGAAAAGTACTTCTTAGCCCTAAACAAATAGCCTAGCTTTTTCCCAGCAGCTGCAGCTATTGAAGAGATGTGTTCGTGCCAGATCAGGTCCTCGGTGATCTGGACTCCGACCAGCCGAAATGAATGGCTCTTTGTTAGGACTCGACCGTCCATCGAAACTGCATGAGCGCTAGGACGCTTTTTGTTCGTCAAAGTACAGTACTGTGTTTTGGAAGCATTGAACTGTACAAGATTGTTGCGTCCCCAAGCAGTGATAGCCTCCAGGTCTCTTGTCAGAGAAGAAGTCGTCGCCAGTCTTCTTTTTTCCAGCTCAGCGGCAGAGATCGGCTTGTCACTCTGAATTCCTGCATGTAGAGTGCTGTCATCAGCGAAGCTGTGGATTGGGTTGATCGTGCAGGAAAGGAGGTCGTTGATATGTAAGAGAAACAGTGTTGGAGCCAAGACCGATCCCTGGGGAACACCCGCGTTGACGTTGTGGGATGAAGAGGAGAATCCGTCAATTACGACGGATATCTTGCGGCCAGAGATAAAGTCAGCCACCCATCTGCAAAGCTTTTCTGGGAGGCCGTAGGATGGAAGTTTGCTCAAGAGGGCAGCGTGCCACAGCTGATCGAACGCTTTCGTGATGTCAAGAGCAACGACATGAGCCTCACCATGAGACTGGATGAGTTTACTCCACAGTTGCGTGACGTAAGCTAGGAGGTCCCCTGTGGATCGTTGGTGCCGGAAACCGTACTGCCTGTCGCTAATCAAGCTGTGACGTTCGAGGTAGTCCAGAAGCTCGCGATTTATGCACCTCTCCATCACTTTACTTATAACAGAAAGCAGAGCTATAGGCCTGTAGTTGTAAGGGTCGGTTTTAGATCCTTTTTTTGGGATGGGCTGTACATGAGCAAATTTCCAGTTTTCTGGGAAGGTGCCGGATTCATAAGATATCTGGAAGAGACGCGAAAGAACTGGAGCAAGCTCAGCTGCACATCTCTTCAGTACAGTGGCAGGAATCAAGTCCGGACCAGAAGCTTTGTTGATGTCGAGCGACAAGAGCACTCGTCTTACGGTCTTATGCCTGAATGTTACCTCCCGCATAGTGTGGGGAACCCTTTGAATTGACGGCACTTGGGCGTTGGTGGGGACGTCCATGGTGGAGTTGGCAGCAAAGATCTTGGCTAGCACTTCCGCCTTGGCCTTTGAGTCGAATACAATAGTTCCATCCTGACACGTAAGTGGTGGAAGGCTACTGTGTGAGAAGTTCTTTTCAATCTGCTTGGCCAGCGTCCAGAAAGACCGACTGCCATTGCGCTGCGACATTACCCTGTGCCTAACTTTTATATCATGCTGGGTTTTGGCATTGCGAACCGCTTCGTTATATTTGTTTCTGGACTCGACGTCGGCTTGTCTGTTCTCTACAGTGGGGTTTTGTAAGTAGGTTCTGTGGGCCTTGATCTTCTGCTGGCGAGCAGTGTCACACGATTTGTTGAACCAGCCGTTGGACCCTGGTTTAGGAACTTTCACTGTGTGAGGGATGTATTCCTCCATTCCGACGTGGATAATTTCGGTTATTGAAGAACAGACAGTCGACGCATCCGCGTCAGTGAAACAGACATCTCTCCAAGGAAAGCTAGAGAAGAAGTCTCTGAGCCCCTCCCAGTCGGCATGTCCGTAATACCAAGTTTTGCGGCCTGTGCGAGTTTCTGCGGCCACAGCGGCTTCTGACCGAAACCTAACCTCCACAACACCGTGATCTGAGTTACCCAGGGGGGACAGGACGGCAGTGCTGTAAGGGGCAGGATGCGTGGTCAGAAAGAGATCCAGCAGGCTACTGGCGTGTGACGAGACGCGGGGGAAAAAAGTAGGACTCGTCACCAGCTGGGTCAGCCCTTGAGTAAGAGCGAACGCTTCGACTGCACGACCTGCTGCATCGGTCTTATTTGAGCCCAACCAAAGCTCATTATGGGCATTGAAATCACCGAGAAGAACTACCTCTGAAGCGGGGTGATTGATGTTCAGGAAGTCGATCTGGACGGCGAGGTATTCGAGTAGGTCATCCCAGTTATGGTTCGAGGGAGAGCGATAAAGGCAGCAAATAAATTTGGGTGATGTTTTGGAGTTGAGGCGAAGCCACAGAATGTCCTTCCGGTCTGATTCCAAAGAAAGATCCCTGGAGCAGGAAAGACCGCTGCGGACAAAAGCCACAACTCCCCCGTTCTTTCTCAGATTGGAGTGCACCTCGTAGTTTGGGAAGTTGAGATGGTTAATCGGTGCAGCCTCTGAGATTTTTGTCTCCGCCAAGAAAAGCACGGCGGGGCGATTGGATTGCAGGTAGTGATGAACAGCATCAATGTTGCTGTTGATCCCGCAGATGTTCGAAAAACAAATTTTATCTTCGATGTTGTTCCCTCGAGCCCACCCTCCACCCGGACATTCCGAGAGTGGAGTGAGTTTACGTCCGGAGTTTTTAGTGCTCGAGGGATCCATCATCATTAATTTCTTTGTTTTGGTAGATAACCGACTGCATAGCTTAGGTGTGGAAACATGCGGACATTTATAAGACACCCTGGGAAAAGCTAGCGGGTGGTACTGCCTCGGTCGACTGGTCCTTGTCTACCACCTTCTTTTTACGTATTAGTGATGTTAAATAGACCTAAAGTGGCCCGTTGGCGGACTTGTACCGCCACCCGGCAATCGGTACTGAGGTATTCCTTAACGCGTGCGCAATCACTTGAACGGGAAGAAGTTGTATACTGGATACAACGACTTCCGGAACAAGCATTTGCCACGGCCCTCGCTCAGTAGGGGACGATGCTCCATTGTCATTGAAATCGTCGATCGATAGATACGAAAATGGTTTTGATTTATTGGTTTGCTATTTGGTTTACTTTATGTCAACTGTAAAGAAATTGTTATACGTTAGTTGTGAGCTTTGCGCGTTATTGCTAGATTAGTCATAGCTGTCTGCGTAAATGTGTGTGATTTATTATTACTTGATAGTTTTTGAAATGTCCGGAAAACGGCAGTCTTATCTTTCGTAGAAGAGTCATGAATCTCATACCATGAGCATAGCTCCCGAAAAATCTATTCATTTGTGCTTTCAACAATATATCAAATAATGTTGTTTACCAAGATGCCTTGAAATGAATGATAAATCAACGCACAATTGCTATACTCTAAGCATATATATGTTAAGATATGCCACACAGGGTGCGAGACACTTCACGTGATATTTATTGTGGTTATACATTTGAAATTAATTTATTGTTGCACTAAGGTGTTGAATAAATAAGGTCAATTGTCAGAGCAACTATTGTCCTATTCTTTGTCCGAAACCAATCTTCATCACAATAAATGCAAAATAAGTACCCTATACCTTACAGTACTTCACGCGAGTGGGGCCGCGGGCTTGGAGTAGCATAGCTAAAAAATGATAAGGGCGTTCATTTTTACCATATATTGGTTTATCATAAGTGCTCTCTAGTTTCATGGAAAAAAGGCAGGTTCAGCGTATTGTTAGTGTTACCTGGAAAGGTTGCCATTTATATCACCTATGATGACCGGTTGTGTAATACTGAGGATAACATACTTTATGGGATTTGAAGAGTCATCTTACATTCTCTAGCACTAATTTCTATAATACAGAATGGCCGATTCCATAAGAAAAGGATAAATCTGTCCGTAAAGTGTTAATGCTGACCTGGTACCTTCTAACGCCTAACCTAGATTCGGGACTGACGCATGAGTCTCTTTCTTCCAGTCTAACCATATGATTGGCCTTCTCAGATTACCCAGCATTTCAGAGTCAACTTGCAAAAGGATTATTCTATCTTTGTTGTGATCGACACATCGAGTGTTGAAAATATTTCAATAGCTTTAATTAAGCCTTAAGAGCAAATGAACCGGGAAATCTATGTGTAAAATATGCCTTGGAAGTAAAAGAATTAATAAGAATCTCAAATGTTCCTTACCTCTAATGGCGAGAGATGGAAAACTATCAGCACCTGAATCAAACTGATACACATCATTTCAAATGAGACTATAAAACTTCTATCCGGTTATTTTCAATTTCAAATGGAAAACATTCAATTACCATGCGATACAAAGGGTGCAGTTGATGCCATTTCGCTTGGAAAATTTTCGCTTGTGGGCCATACAAAACTGTCTCGTTAGTATGCATCAGTTGGCTTGAATTTTACTTGCTGCTAGGCACAGGTAGGCAATAAAATACATTTTTGCCAATTTTACTTCTCACGGGTACATGCGATGAAATATTGTAATTGCGAAAAGTTTCGAAAATAGGACTTCATGTTTTTTGGATGTTATAAATATGACGTATATCACGAAAAACCATGTCACTCATACACATCGGTCTGTCTGTCGATCTCTCTTGTCGGTCTGTCTGTCGTTCTGTCGGTCTGTCTGTCGGTCTGTCTGTCGGTCTGTCTGTCGGTCTGTCTGTCGGTCTGTCTGTCGGTCTGTCTGTCGGTCTGTCTGTCTGTCGGTCTGTCTGTCGGTCTGTCGGTCTGTCTGTCGGTCTGTCTGTCGGTCTGTCTGTCGGTCTGTCTGTCGGTCTGTCTGTCGGTCTGTCTGTCGGTCTGTCTGTCGGTCTGTCTGTCGGTCTGTCTGTCGGTCCTGTCCTGTCGGTCTGTCTGTCGGTCTGTCTGTCGGTCTGTCTGTCGGTCTGTCTGTCGGTCTGTCTGTCGGTCTGTCGGTCATGTCTGTCGGTCTGTCTGTCGGTCTGTCTGTCGGTCTGTCTGTCGGTCGCTGTCGGTCTGTCTTCGGTCTGTCTGTCGGTCTGTCTGTCGGTCTGTCTGTCGGTCTGTCTGTCGGTCTGTCTGTCGGTCCTGTCTGTCTGTCGGTATGTCGGTCTGTGTCGGTCTGTCTGTCGGCCTGTCTGTCGTCTGTCTGTCGGTCTGTCTGTCGGTCTGTCTGTCGGTCTGTCTGTCGGTCTGTCCTGTTGGTCTGTCTGTCGGTCTGTCTGTCGTCGTCTATCGGTCTGTCTGTCGGTCTGTTTGTCGGTCTGTTTGTCGGTTCTGTCTGTCGGTCTGACTATCTGTCTGTCTATATCTCGGTCTGTATGTCGGTCTGTCTGTCGGACTGTCGTCGGTCTGTCTGCCGGTCTGTCTGTCGGTTTGTCTGTAGGTCGGTCTGTCGGTCTGTCTCTCGGTCTGTCCTGTCGGTCTGTCTGTTGGTTGTCTATCGGTCTGTCTGCCGGTCTGTCTGTCGGTCTGTTGTCGGTCTGTTTGTCGGTTCTGTCTGTCGGTCTGACTATCTGTCTGTCTATATCTCGGGCTGTATGTTGGTCTGTCTGTCGGACTGTCTGTCCGGTCTGTCGCCGGTCTGTCTGTCGGTTTTTCTGTAGGTCAGTCTGTCGGTCTGTCTCTCGGTCTGTCCTGTCGGTCTGTCTGTTGGTTTGTCTATCGGTCTGTCTGTCGGTCTGTCTGCCGGTCTGTCATATCTGCTTTAACTTTAACTACATGGTTTGTAACTTTTTATTGTGTATTTACTCTTTACGGTAGCATCGCAATAATACTTAGGATGAAGTGCGAGCCATTATTAAGTTGACGCATTTATGTCCAGGGGCGCGCAGCGCCGGGGCAGATAACGTGCAAAATCAATAATAATAATAATAATAATAATAATAATAATAAAACATTTATTGAGAAATACTCAAAAGGAAAGGGTACTGTATAGACATTTTTCAATCCTTCTCAGGAGAGGCGTATATATATTTTCATTTCCCGCGCTACTGGTCGAGAAAGTATGGTAGTCACGAA